ATATAGTATATATATATATATATATATATATATATATGGAGTTCGACCATGTGTAATGTGGTTAGATTATTTGTGGAGCTATGCTTGAACATGTGATGAAAATCAAAGAGTACTTTTCTTAGAGGAATCTATCCAACATAGATGGATGAGCTATGTTGATAAACAATTTAATGAAATTTCTGAAAACACGATTGATCTTATTGATTTGATATCGTTAATAATAATAAAATATTTTATTTTTTTTATCGCATTAGTAAAAATATATAATTAAGAAGGCTTTTAAAGAAAATCAAGAAAGGAAAATCAGTATAATCTGATGATATTCCAATTAAAGTGTGTAAATATTTAGGAGATTTAGGATTTTTTTGGCTTACTGAACATTTTAATATTATTTTAAAAACTAAAAAAATGCCTCGGGAGTGGATGAATAGTATTTTGGTACCCATTTTTAAAAATAAAAGGAATGCACAAGCGTGCAAATTATCGATGAATTAAATTGATGTTTCATACTTTAAAATTATGGGAGATGGTACTCGAACATAGGTTAAAACATGATATAAAATTTTCCATAATCACTTTGGATTTATGTTGCGCAGATCTACTATGGAAGCTATACATTTATTGAGAAATTTGATGGATAAGTACGGAGAAAGTAAGAAGGATCTACATATGATTTTTATTGATGTAGAAAAAAAACTTACGATATGGTTTCAAGAGAAGTTCTTTGGAGAGTTGAATTATGACTCTTTTCACATCTAGGATTTACATATACAACATATATTACTGTCAAGAGAGGGGACCGGGTCCTATATTCTTTCTTTTTATTTCTATATTAGATATTTCTATTTACTATTTATTATCTTTAATATCTTTATTATCTTTACTTTAAAATTTTTATAATTGAAATTTATTCATTCTAGAATTTCTTAATTCTAATTTAGAATTCTATTTCTATTCAATTTAATATTTATCTATTTGAATTGAATTCTATTTAAACTAGATTTCTGAATTGAAATGAAATCAAAATTTTTAATTTTCTTTGATGTTTTTTTCTCTTTATTTTAATATTCTTATTTTTTTTCATATTCATATTCTATATCATACTATTATATTATTCATATTCTATATCATACTATTATATTACTCATATTCTATATCATACTATTATATTATTCATATTCTATATCATACTATTATATTACTCATATTTTAGATTGCTCATATTAATAATATAATATTAATAGAAAGAAAGAGAAGATTTCTATTTCATATATAAATTTCAAATTTCATATCTAAATATATAGAGGTACAAAATAGAATTCGATATAAGATTTGGGTTGTGATTAGTCGTTTGCTATGTCAGTATGTATATGTATGTCTTAGATATATAAGACATATCCTTTCTGTCATTTCGTGAGTCTTTTAGCTACTAACGTAACGTAATCAATTTCATTCGTTAGAACAGCTTCCATTGAGTCTCTGCACCTATCCCCAATATAATGTGTTGTTGATCAAATATATTCTACTCTCCTCATTCCTCGTGTAAATACCAACTACTCTCTCTTCTCATCTAACTTTATCATATATTATAATATATTCTTCAAAATATTAAAAATAATTTTTAAAAATGTCAAGTCAAAATAACTTGATTAAAATTCTATCAAGAACCATGAGAAATTCCAAAATATTAATTTTTTTGGATGAGTACAAATGTACAATATATAAATATTAAATCCTTATTTATATATTGCACGGATCTCAAACCTAACTCCATGGATTTCAAACCTCACGACTCACCAACTTCTTATAATTGTCTTTTCTTTTTGAAAAATAACGTCAAAACAAATCATAATCATAATTATAACCCTTAATCTCCCATCTAATCACATGTCTTCATGTATTAATCATCAGCTCTAAATTCTTAAATTAATTGGCTAATGCAAAAGAAGTGCAGGTTCTCTTTAAATTAATAAAGTATAAACAAATGACAACACAAACTGTCTTTATCTTGTAGTTGGTGGGTGGATGACTTAATTCCTTCTATAAATAAAATCACACAGAGAAGTTAAAAGGTATGGCAGGCAATCAAAGTTTGCTACTTTTAGGTTCTTGGGGTTTCATTTTCTTAAATACAGATGATACATTAATTATATTTATATGTGCGATCCTAACCGTCATTAAGCCACATAAAATAGTACTAATCAATAGTACAGTATTTTGGTGATTTCAGTCTAATTCTTGGAAGGGAAGCAGGTATAATTCATTGGAAGAAATCCTAGTCACGACAATGACTTCCGCCAAATTTGACATTTAGAAATTCAACGGGAAGAACGACTTCAGCCTATGAAGTGTAAAGATGAGAGCTCTATTGGTTCAACAGGGTGTTGCAGAAGCCTTGCAAGGGCCGGCGGCATTGCCGGCCGACACGAGAGAAGATCGTCATACTGGACAAGGCCCACAGTTTGATAATCCTGAGCTTGGGCGACAAAGTTATGAGGGAGGTGTCGAGGGAGACAACGGGTCCAGCAATTTGGGCCAAACTCGAGGTATTCTACCTAACAAAGACTCTGGCTAATAGGCTCTTTCTGAAGCAGTGCCTATACTCCTTCAAAATGCATGAAGACAAATCCGTCTAAGAGCAGATCAACGAGTTCAACAAGATCATCGACGACCTTGAGAACATCGACGTCAAGATGGACGATGAGGACAAGGCACTGCTGTTGCTAAACTCTATTTCTAAGAGCTACGAGCATTTCAAAGATGTGGTGCTCTATGGAAGGGTGCATGCTATTACTCTGGAGGAGGTTCAATCTCTGATTAGAGCCAAATAACTTCAAAGTAAGCATGACAGGGACAAGGAAGGCAGCGGAGACAGTCTTATTGTCAAAGGAAGATCAGACAGGAAAGATTCAAGAAATGGTCAGTACAGATCAAGTTCAAGAAAGGATGGCACAAATCAGTCATCAAGGGGATCTTTCAAGTGCTATCATTGTCTCAAGGAGGGTCATTTCAAAGACAGGAAGAATAAGTACCAAGAAGATCCAGAAGAATTGAATAACCTAAAAATAATTCAGGAATATCATGCGCCACACGTAGAGCTACATCAGGAGTCCGCACAGAAAAATTTTGATTTTTCTGAGGAGATCAATACAAATGTTTTTTTTTTTTAAAGTGGAACTATTGAGAGCCTCGGTTCGCTTCATTTGAGAAGACATTGAAGTTCTATTCAGTTGCTAAGCTCGACAGCTCCTAAAATTATTTCATCGCAACGTCAATTTTTTATCATTTTAGAACATAAATGATGATGTACATTCCATCACGTGACTTTTAAAGGAGCTTCACGGGACTAAAAAACTCTTTCAAATGAAATGAAGTCTTAGAAATAGAATTCCGTTACAAGCTAAAATCTAAATTGCCAGAAATCAGAAACATATAAAATACTTTAAAAGATATGTATAACAAAATGCATAAGAAAGGTGAGTTGAAATATTCATTGTTAATTTGCTGTATATATCTATATATATAT